GGACTGGTCCCTGGGGGGGATCTCTAGTATGGTGGCGAGACCTAAGAAGGATTCTTTATCCCATCTGGAGCCTCTGTCTGAAACACCCACTGCATTAACAGTTGTTTCTTGACCTAAATAGCACTTAAAAATCCACTCTGGCATCTTAGGGATAGAAAGGAGAGATTTTTGCTGGCTGTGGTTGGGCAAACTGGGGAAAAGGGTGGACTTATGGTAGAAATCTTATGCTCTCCCTGAAGGTCCTGTGCCTCTCCACTTCTTCCATGGAATTTGTAGATAACATTATTGCTGGTCTGCACCAGGGAATGAGGAGGCTGAAAACAAATGCAGCAGCAGACTGGGTTGCACTGGGAGAGGTGTGAGATTAGGATGGTGGATACTGCGATACCAGAGCAAAACAATTTGGGCATTGCTTCAAACAGAACACAACAACGATTCGAGTCCTGCTGCAACGCTGGAATATTGCAACTCTGCACTAAACTTTCCTATTGGAAGAGTTGCCAAACAGCTCCTCTGGCTGGCAGTCCTCAAGGCACTGCAGAGGGGCAAAGGATGTTTCGGAGGGCTTGTACACTGCTGAGTGGGTTTAGCAAATTAAGAAGTGTATTGGCAGGTGGCTCAGGCTTCTTTCTAATAACGCTGTTGCTGTGACACTTGCTGCTTAGCACTTCATCTCGATCACCCCAACTTCTGAATAAAATCATGCTTGCTGCAGTGATGTAGAGCTCTGAAGACAGGTTTGGATGAGCCAAGATTGAAGATTACTAGGGGAAACATGGCACACATTGGTGGCACAGTGGTTCTAAAATGCTTTAGATGCTGCCAAATTCAGCCTGAAGCATGAGCACCCAGCATGAAAGACGTAGCTGAATGCTAACCTATGAAAAACACTGATTGGAAGCAGTTCTGAAGCTTTCTTTAGATCAACTCCGTATCTATTCTGTCTCTTCCATGCTATATTATTAACATTTACTTATTTTTATATTTCAGTCAAAAACTAAACCCAAGAGAGTAAAAGCAATTTACAACTGTGTAGCGGATAACCCAGATGAACTAACTTTTTCAGAGGGAGATATCATTGTAGTCGATGGTGAAGAAGATCAGGAGTGGTGGGTGAGTATTGTGCATTTTCCATCAACACCCTTTGAAAGAAATAAATGAAATCTAGAAGTTGACACTGATTTCAGAAGATCCTCTGCTGGGTTTCCAAATAACAAGAGAAGTTTTTTCTCATAAAAACCCGATTCCAGAAATCTCTGTTGTTCAATAAAACCAAACTTGAGATAAGTTTTAGCTTTTCTCATTCAGGAAAAAAAAAACCCAACCCACATCTGATTAGGAGAGTTCACAACACACAGGGACGTGGTCTGCGTGTTTCAGGAAATTCCTGGGAGGTGTCAGCAATTTAAGAATCTGCTGCTATTGCAGATGCTGTGTGGTGGGCCTTAGAAGACAGCTTTGTGTTGTCCTAATTCTTTAGCTGACCGAGACTGAGAAATGGTCTCTTCCGTGAGCTCAGAAACCATCTCAACTATTCACATCCCAGAGTCTCATCAGCTAAAGCAGTCTTGGCAATTTGTTATGCATGAAAACACTTGCCTTACTCTGTTAGCTAGCAAAGAATAGAACTTCAGATTGCATCAAAAATTACAGTAATGCTGTATGAACACAAATAGGTTAATGTAAAATCCAGAACTGATGAAGCTTGATCCATCCTTTTGCTTGTCAGTGATTGTTAAGAGGAGGAAGCAGCAGCAACTTAACAGAGGCAGAATATGGGCTGTCAGGCATTGCAGAATGTGCTGAAATGATGTAGCAGTGGTACTGCATTAAGAGGCATTACTTTTAAAGAACTGGATAAAACAGAATTTGAAAAAAAAAATTGTCCGTAACTGAATAACATGTGCACTTTTTAGAACTAAATTTTCTGATAACGTTTCCCATTCGCAAAAGCAAAAGAGCACCACTGCGGAAAACATGTGGGTAGAGGCTTGTTGTACTACAAGCAGGAAAGTCACTGGTATTCATTTTGGTGATACTGAAATTTTAATTTGAGAATAACTTGAAAAATGTCTGGACTCTTTCAGATTGGTCATATTGATGGAGATCCCAGTCGGAAAGGAGCTTTCCCTGTATCGTTTGTGCACTTTATTGTTGACTAAATTGCTACTGATAAGTGGAGACATTTCTCATTTCCAGCGGTCACAGAAAAAAGTTTTGCTCTATTTCATTTCATCTGCCTATCTGCAGACACTTTGCCAGAGCACTGCCCGAGTCCTAGGTACTGTAGCTTACTTTTTTATTGCCATCGTTCTAATTTTGGGACTTTTAAAACTTTTTTCTATGTGAAAACTTCTCATGAGCAGTTTACACTTTAAAAAAAACCAACAACTTTTCCTGTATTTTTCAATGTGAACTGAAAAGCTTTAACAATCAAAATCCATGTAAGTATATGAACATCACAACATCATGAATGTTCTTTTCAATCAATTCGCTGTAATTTTATTCTTCCTTTTGTAACATGACCACAGTTCAGTGTTGCTTCCCCAGTCAAAGAAATTGTGTGCATCAAACAGGGCAGTGAATTAATCCGATTCTCGATACCATTTGAAATGTTGGAACCAAAACATGCAGGCTGCTGCGTAGTCCTAAATTGGATTCATTCAGCATCTTGCCATGCTGGCTGTCATCCAGGATGTCAACAGTTACAGAAGAAACCATTTTAATCGGGTGTCTTTGGCCAGGTAAAAGTGAAAAAGTATTTCAGTTTGCCACAGGAGAAACTTCTTTCTTTCAAAATGGATGTAGATATTTGCTTAAAGTTTTCTGAAATCTGTGTTAGTCGTTGAACTTTCTAGTTCTAATTTTGTGAGCTCGAGACGGTTTCATTTTTCTATGCTGCACGTGTGTAGGACCTGTTTTTTGAATGTTCTTTATGTATGTTACATCCATTTTGGTCATTTAATGTGACTACTGCTGGTTAATTAAACTATGGCAATATTAATGAGTTACTACATTAACTCAAGGATATGAAAACTGCACTTCCTGAAATGTACTTAACTATGATGATGGATTGCAGAGCATTTCTTACACTTGTCTCACTGTAGTGTTTAGACTTTTTTTTCAAATTCTTGAATTTTCTTAAATCATCCAGCAATGCGTTCAGGAAGAGAACGTATCTGGTGGAACACTTTGGTAATTATCCTTGGTCAATAAGGTATCTGACACCTCACAAGTACACTACGTTATGTTCCGTTTTATACAATTTGTGTGCCACTACCTTGCAAACAAAGATAGTTTGCTAACTCACTCTGTATTAATATAATATACCCATATATATGGTAGCTACACTGTCGTTAAATTTGTTTTACTGATTTGTGAACAAAGGCAAGGCCACGGATGGTTCCCAGTTGGTTGATGAAATACAAAAGACCAATACAAATCTGACATCATTCTGATGTTTGTATATTGTGAAATTGTACCAGGTTTTGCTTATGCCACAGAAAACAACTGGTGGCATAGGATAAGAAAAATGAATGTCTAGGTCACATTGGCTTTGATCACGTTTTGTGAATATTGTTATCTCTAGATTTATTAAGAGAACTTTGAATTTCTGACAAGTGGTGTTTAAATTGGCCATTTCATATTGAACGGAATGGAAGACAGGCCACACCATACATGCTTCTTTGGAGCAAAATCCCATTGCGTTAGTGCTGGAAGAGCAACACTGATCTTACCTTGTATCACCTTTTCTAAATGGTACAGTTGAGAGCCTCTCCAATGTGTGGGTACAGCCACGCATAACGTTCATTTCCTGGATGCTGTTGCTGCAGTATGAATGGGGAACAAACTGGAATGTTTCAAGATATTTTTGTTGCAAGTTGAAGCAAATTAGTCTGTATTTTCAAAGTTCCCAGTAAAATGATAGTAATAGTTTAGCACTCCAGTTTTATTCACTTACTGACATGTTCAGTTTGCAACACTATTTTGTATGTTTCTACCCCGATAGAGTCTAGAGAGTAAATGGGCATATTATTTTGCACAAATCTCCTACTGTACAGTATTTTTAACACAGAATCTTATAGTGTATGTAACAACTCATAAAGTTAAACAAGGATGCAAATTTTCCTTGAGTTCTGCTAGAAGAGGAATACACTTTAAAATGTCACAATCTCATTCACTGGTCACTTAGAATCTAGGAAACTTGTAGAATACAACTTAATGGCATTAACAGTGCAGATATAAAATCTTGAGGACCAATAAAGAGCAGCTAAGCAAAATTTATCCCTAGATTTTCATGTTTCTCAAACTTTGCTCCTCTAGCAGAGGAAAAAGAAATTCTAGAGCCTGTAGATATCTATTTATAATATAAAATTAAGAATTTAAAGTCCAAACTTTTGGCGTATTTCATACAACTTTTCAAATCTGATTAAAATGACTCAAAAAAACTGTTAATAGACAGACTATTAGGTTGCTGTGTTAACTGTTTAAAAAGGAGCAAGTGACACTTAAATGCAGCTTAGAATGCTATGAGATGTATAATATTCAATTCAGTTGTTTTTATTTTGTTTAGTTGCAGAGCAACTGTATATATTATATAACCTAAAATCAACTCTTATTTTCAATGTCCTGGATGCAGTGATTTATAATTAGAGCATGATTAATAAATTTTACTCTTGTTAACCAGTCAAATGTCTGGAAAAATAAAACTACTTTTAAAATCACTTTGGCTACTTCTATTACTCTGCATTGCTTAGGCAATATTGTTCTTCCCAATGTGTAAAATGAGAAAGATGAACAAGTAGCACTTGAGCAAAAAAAGGTACGGCTTGTGCATTTTTAGTTGAATGTAGAAAGTGTGTAATCAGCACACCTAAGATTAAATGAGAGGTGTAAAGCACCAGCTGACTACCTGTTAGCACTTCACTCTTGTTTTGCTCTAATATCTCAGTTCAACACAACTGAAGTCTTCATTAACAAATGGTTTTTCAGACAAAGAGATAGAAGCAAGTATCAGTTTTATTTTACATTTCTACAATATTGACATTAATATACAAAACACAAGTTAGGAAAAAAAATCCTGTTAAATACAGAATTCTGTATTGTCCTGAAACCTGGGGTTGGAATAATTTCTTCAAGTCATGCTTGGGGAATGACAAAGTACCATGTGCAAGGCTGCACGGCTCTTTGCACAGCGAGTCTTCTCTAGGTTTGTGTGTAGCTACAGCCAGTCTCTGGTATCACACGGGAGCCCAATTTCCTCCTTGCACAAAGGCCTCTTGTACTACAGTCACGTGCTGCCCAAGAAAATCAGGACTTCTCCGACATCAAAACTGAATCAAAGGCTGTAGATAACACTTTGCAAATAGCTTGTGCTTGTTCCTAAAAAAACCCAAACACGTGCATTACCACTTTCTGAAGAACTTCTGAACGTCTCAAAACTTGTTTAAAGCAGAATGTGACCTTTATCATTTTTTGGCAGAGACATGCAAAATGGAGTAGCACAAGTGAGATTTAATTTGATTTCTGTGGTCTGCAATGACATGTGGGAAGCTCTTTTAAATGAGCTCTTTTGAAACAAGTCAGAGTTGTTAGCTTTCATCATAGCATGACACAAGCATTCAGAAAGTCAGTCCATGTGTTCCCCCCGTGCTGCTAAGGGTGTGTGTCAAATCACAGTATCTTGACAACACATTCTCCTGCGCTTAGAGGAAGAGGAGATAGCTTCCCTTCCTTATAAATACAAATGCATGCTCTGTTACCAGAACTGTTACTCAATCCCTCCCTGCTCTGTCTGATCTGAAGAAGTTTGGGTTTGTCTTTGAAAATACAAACAGAGGATTATCTTTAGCAGCTACAATAGCACCCTTCAGGTTGCAAGGATCTTTCTCAGGCCAATTTTTACTGGCAGTTTTAGGCAGTGCAGGTATTTTTCCTGAAAGCTGATGAAATGCAGTCAGCAGGGCTTTCGTCCCCTCCTCAGCCAGATCACATTTGTATTCTGTAATTGAGCAAAATCCCCCCCCGTCTGCCAAAAAGCTTTCACAAGGGCCTTGGGTTTTAGAGTCTCCCTTTACAATCAAAATACCGATACCTAAATTAAATACTGTAAACATAAACTCTTACCAAACTATTGCACTGATATACCCAGAGGCTGTATTCTTCAGAGCCTGCATCTGTTGTCTTCAAAGCCAGTAAACTTTTTCCTGCTCCCAGACCATCATCGTAGCAGACCATCCGTACAATTAAATAGAGAGCATGCCTATGTAACACATCCTGAAACCGTGTGGCAAACAAAAGTTACTCTGGAACAGTGCAACAGCTATTTCAATTTTCCACCTGTTCTGATTTTCTCCCTACAAAAGAATACTTCAGGTTTATTTACAGGAGAAAAGTACTCCTTGGTAACATTATAATTTTTTAATTGAGAGTTTAATCGAGATTTAAAATAAGTGGTGGTTTAACACAATTTTAGCTTTAACTTTTGCTTCTATTTTAGAATTGGATTCATGTGTGGACTATGTTCCTGGCCGTACTGCAAAAGCCACATGTTCATTACTTGACACTGTGAGTAAGACAAGTGGTACAGTCTGCACCTGCTTCTGGCACAGAGGAAGCTTAAAACAACTTTTTACTTTTCCAGACAATCCTGTCTTAGTTCCAGGAAGCATACACACGAGAAACTGTTCCCAGAGGAGGGTATGGACAAGGTTAGTTCTTTGAGGTGGAGAGGAGTCAGGTCACTTGTGGCCTGAGCCCCAGCACGGGTCTTGACTCTCACAAAGATCTAGTCTGGGAGACTTCTACTTTCCACCGCAGTTGCATCATTTCAATGTAATCCCAACAGTTCTGATCTTGGCCACTCCATAAAGGGACTGGTTGATGTTGTCCAGTACAAGGTGTCTGCAGGCCTACCCTGCACAAAAGCTTTTCTTCTGAAGCCATCCAACCCAACCAAGACTATTCATCTGGTTGATTCAGTCATACCACCTCTAGGGTCTTACGAATTCAAGACAGCTCTTTTTCTGTGTTCATGGCATGAAACACCTTGTCCCCATCAGTAGCTGAAGGGTCTAAAGAAATGTCCAGTTTGATACAGAAGCTGTAAAAATGGGCAGTGAGCTTGAAGTCCACTATGAAACCCTTGAGGGAGAGCCCTCTACCAGAGCTCCTAAGATCCCCTTACTGAAAAAAACATGTCCATCCCTGACATTCACTCAGCAATCGCTCGCAATCACTCACTGGAGTGAATGAAACTTACTGGATCAACCCTCCGGTGTATGAAAGATGCCAACATTTGCCTCCAAATTACTTGTAACTTTTTAGAGTTACATATTTAAACTTGCTACAGTGCTAATGTGCATGTGGATTATTACTAAAAGAGGGAGGGTAGAATTCCCCCTGAAAATTACTTTCCTTCCCTCCTTCCAGTACTTCGCTATGAGGGGATTCTGCAGTCAAGAGAGAAATGAGATGGCGGATGGACAAGTTGTGCCGTATGTGTATGTACAAACTTGTAACGTACAAATACACGCAAACAGAACGAGAAGAAGGCCAAAGCCTCAGTGTGACTTCTATAAATACTTCAACTTTGGTTTCTAATGGTTGCATCCACAAATTGAAAAGTATGAATGAATTACATATCTGTACATATTTCAGTCACTAATGAAATAATTTCTCAAATATTAACTGAAATCCATGAGGAAAAACTTGGTATCCTCCAGTCAAGACATCTTTTGGGCATCTGAAATAAATAGCTGCCTATTCACCTGCAAAGGTATCTACAACCACGTAACTTTCACCTCACCCCCAGAGTCATCAAAGACTGAATTCTTTGTATGAATGTAGAGAAAAACTTTCCATTGTGGAACTCTATGAAAGAGTTAGGTAGACTAACACACTAAAGGACAAATTAAATGTCAACAGTGACACAGATGCAAAAAAGCCAGAATTTGGGAAACAGAATGCAGTGCAATAAAATGCCAGTGCAAGCTAGCTTAATCACAGAAGGCCTTAACAGCTTGTGCATGCTTTCAGCTTGAAGCCAGAAGAATGATGAATAAAGTGATATAGATCAAATAGGTAACTTTAAGAAAGTACAAAGGAATTTAAATATTAATGTAACCTATGTTCTTAATGAGAATTAAGAATTTAGGAGGACAGCATAAATAGAACCCAAAAGAATTCAAAGTCTGAGTAACAACTGCTACACTTCTTCCCAGGCATTAGAAACAAGGGTTTTATTTTCTGAAGGGACTAGAGGAGACTTTTTGGCTCTCTTCAGAGTATTCAGCTATTGAATAACGCTATTCACCAGTGCTATTCACCATCCTCATACTTGAGGCTTTTATGAACAGGCATCGCTGGGTTGTTGATGGGTCATGACTTTGTGTGGCCAAGTATTTATGGTATCTGGGGCTCTGAGGGCAACCAGAAGGAAACCACATGGCTGTAATACAAAGCTAAGCAAAGGCCACTGGAGGGCCCTGGGGAAGAGACCGGATTTTTATTTTTAGCAAAAAAGCTACTTGAAGTGCGCTAAAGGAAAACAAACTACATATAGGAAATGATGCAAACAAAAAATAGGCTTGATCAATAAAGTGGAACCATGAGGCTTTAATGCTGGAGTGAGCTCTGTCTTGAATTAGGAAGAGGCTGCAAGGCTGGAACTTTAAAGAGGAAGACAACTCAGGAATTCTTGAAAAAACACCCTTTTTTTTTTCCCCTCTCCACAACACCATCAAGAGGAATTGTATTACTAACTCAGGCTGAGGAACCTATGGTCTTGGCCACCACACTCATGCTACTTTTCCACATGAGAGGATGGCAGGACAGCCACAGAGAAAGGAAAATGTGCCCCAAGAGCATAAAGGCTTGCTCTCCTTTTGCCTGGTGCTCTGTCTCAAAAGGAATGGATTCTTGTCATAAATCAGAAAATACAGAGCCTTGAGGAGATAGGACAAAGCAGTGCTGCTGTGAGAGCTTGTTTGTTTGTTTTGCTTAAAGCCAGTGACGTTTGGGTCACACATCATCTGTCAAAGAAAGGAAAAACACTTTTCAACTCTCGCCAAAAAGACAGTTTGTTGTGAATCACTTACATACTGATCAGATGTTGAAACTTTAATGCCATATTTGGAAACTCCCATAATAAACTCCTCTTCACCTGGAACAAAAGGTAACTTTCCATCTTGCTTTGGAAGGAAACAAACAAAAGCCTTAGTGCAGACAGAACAACATGAACAACAAATATACGTAACAGAAAATGTGTTTATGTGTACTTCAGTCCACTGGATCAGCAACATCACTAACCCTGCTCGTATCTTGCCATGTGGAGTCTGCCTGCCGCTCCTGCACTCATCCAGTCCCTTAACTTTATGTGAAATATATTCAGGGACGGTTTAGACAGGACATTAGGCAGCATTTCTTTACTGAGAGGGTGTTCACACACTGGAACAGGCTTCTTAGAGAGGTGGTCAGTGCCCTAAGCCTGTCAGTGTTTGAGAGGCTTTTGGACCATGCCCTTAACAACATGCTTTAACTTTTGGTCAGCCCTGAAGTGGTCAGTTGGATTAAGCTGTGGGTCCCTTCCAACTGAAACTGTCTAGTCTAGTCTAGTCTAGTCTAGTCTAGTCTAGTCCAGTCTATTCTATTCTAATTACATGATTCCAGAAAAGATTTATCATCTCAAGGGGAGTTTGGCCCTGTGGTCAGATCTTATGGGCTGAAAAATGATTCATGCCCTTTCGTGCTGCGCTGACCCTGAGTGTATGATGTTCCACACTGGCAGCAATTTTGTTATTTGGCTGTAAAATAGATTTAGCATATATTCAGATACTTAAAATGTCAAGTTGCTGTAAGATAAATGAAATAAAATAAATAAAATCTGTGTTCTTAAAAATACAATGATCAGCTGCCTAATGAGAACAACCAGTTACGGCTTTTAGTACGAAAATAATACAAGCAACCACAGATTGGCAAAGGTGACCCAAACATTACTAAGGTTCTTTGGCCATAGATTCGTAAGTGATTGTAAGCAGAAACTACATTTTCCTTGATGGGAAAACTTCTACATTACTGCAGAAATCTGGAGGACATACTCTTTCCTGGATACTAATCCTAACAGTGCTGAAAACAATAAAACAACTTTCAATTGGGATACTTGTTCAGTAACAACTCACGAAAAGGGCCTCCACTCTGAGCCTGCTTCTTCAGAATGGCTTTTTGGGTCCATCTTCAGTTACTCAACAGGATGGAATTTGAGAATCCTAGCTTAATGGTTTTTAAAATAAGCTACTTTATTCTAGCAAGTCTAAAATTTACAAAGAAATATGTTAGCTCACGTGACAATATGAAAGAAATACACCTAAACTTAAGATCTTCTGACGCTGTTGTTATTGTCTTTTGTAACCCACTTACCTGTGCAACATCTATGTAATTTATCAAGTCCAATGGCCCTTCGAGACTTTTGCTCTCATTATATTTCAATTTTTCAATGGCACCAACATATTTAACTCTGAATTCTGCACACGTATCAGAATTACTGTTACTCTGTCCTGCAAGAAAATAAAACAAAGCAATTCTGAAGAATTCCAGAACAGTAATGCTATATTAATTGGTGTTAATGGGGCTAATTTATTAAATTCCGTAATTTTGCAGTTTTTTTCATCAAAAACTTAACCTTACCACAGTAAACTAACTCTTCTCTTTACTGAGCTATCCTGGACTGATTCAGAACAGCCCTTGGTGAAGGCACGAGTTTCATATGAATCCATGATACAGCATTGTTTATACTAATTCAAATCTGGAGTTAACAACCTTGAATCAGAAGACACAGAACAGCTGGTTCTACTTTTCTATATATATTTTTTTAAATTAACTGTTTGGTCCAACAGTGATGCATTATGATCTGGTGAGCAAGAACAAGTTAAATTAAAACTTACTTCCATTATTTCAGTGCAAATGTAAACTTATAAATGCAGGAAACATAGATTTGAAAAAGTTATGCCAGATTCATGCTATGTAACAAACTGGTAATGCAACTAATTTTGTCTTACTTTACTTTGAAAACAGTGACTTAATCCTAGATGAATCATTAATAATACTTCAGAAGCCTAGAGCTATGCATGCATTAGTCAACAGGCTAACAGATTCACTCACAATTATTAAAAAGACGTATTTTAACCTTTTCTACTCTCTGCTCTTTTACACGAACACACATGAAGTTCACCCTGCTCCACACCCATCTGCCCAAACTCCAATTCCATACCTGAACTTTTGGTGGAGTCTGTATCTAGACTGGCCACAGTGCTGGACCTGGAAAGTCCCCCAAGACTGGAATCTACCGACTAAGAAAAAAACCAGTATCATCAGAAAGTCAATGAGAAGATATTAAAAAAATCACTTTCAGATGCCCTGCCTCAACTCTTTTTTTAAAATAAACTAGTTTTTATGTTCCAATTACTTAAGCAGCACTGCAAAATGCGGAGAAAAAACACACCACCACCTATTACTTTCCTGAAATTATCTTTCTGCCTCAATGTAGATCAGACTGATATAAATTCAACAGGAACCCTTGAGAGGTCCACAGATATTTTGAAAGAAGGAGGAAATAAAAGAAAAAGGGAAAATGAACCTTAAGGTTATGTCCAGACATTTCTGGTACTGCATCTTAACTTGAAGAAATTGACAACTACATGCTTGTCACCAATGCTTGAAATAACATAGCAGTGCACGGGAAGTGAAACGGCACCTTGGAAAATCCAGAATATTCAACTGATCATTCCAAAACCTATCAGACAAAATGGACACATTATTCAAAGTGAGGAATACTTTTTAGAGATACTGAGTAACCAACTAGTACTGAAGAATAAACTCATTCTTGGTACCTAGCTCCAGACACCTTCTTCTAGACAGTATATCACTACAGAACAAACGTACTATTCTTTCCTCCAAGCTGTAGTATTGTGCTGCCAGAAGCATGGCATTTTATGGAAATCACATCCTACCACTGATGCAAGCGAACCACTGAACTGCCAACTTGTAACAAAGGGAAGTCCTTCCATGAACAGAGTATATACCAAATAGCTTACCTTGCTTTTAGTACTGATTTCACTGCTTTGTGAGCTGCTGCTGCTGTGTCGTTTTTTTCCTTTTCTAAACATTTTTTCATAATTGGACCAAGGAAGATCTTCTAGGTAGGAAAAATAAAAATTAAAGCTGTCATATCAAAGGAAAGGAGTTCCTGGCAAACACCAGGGTGACTGTCCAAAGTGGACAAAAACTGGAAACTTGTGAAGGACTCTGAGAACTGAAGTAGGAATGTTCCTCTGGTCCTCCCTCAAGCTCTCTGCTAAAACTTCTCTTCCTTCTGATTCATGAAAAAAATGCTGATACCTAGTTTACAGGCTGTCACAAAGGTTACTTTCTAATGCATATAAAGATACAGATTTAGAAACATGGCAAAATTAAAAATGTATATTCCCACTTAAAGACATTATTTCTACCTACAATCCAAGCGCCCTACAAAGTGCATCCAGCGCAATCCCTGCTCCAAAGATTATGTTCCCTTAACAAAACAACCAAACAAAACCCCCCCAAACAAACCAAACCCCCCTCCACTTCTGAAGAACTGCTGATTGTAATACTTCTAGGGGCAGCCATTACTACTTACCATGTTCTAAAGCAAGAAGCATACTGCATTTACTGCCTTAGAACTGAGCTAATGGGATTTCTGAGAGTATTCCAGAAGCGTTTTTCCTGTCCTGCTACAATTGCCTCACTTAACATTTGGCCGTCAAGTGTCAACAAGCAGGATAGTGGCTCCCAGTCAGGGAGTGTTGGAACCCAACTTTCCAGAGCTTCAGAAATTTTGAGCAAGTGGAAGAAAAAGGACAAAGGAGGAAGCCAGCTCACACCGTAGAAAACAGTGGACGACGCACAAGGAGGAGTTCGGATGCAGTGCCGGATGACAGTCCCCAGAACGCTGCTGCGGTTGTCGTTAAGCGAACACCGGGTCCGTGACAGACCGAAAGCCGCCTCAGCGACAAGAGGCGCAGCACGGCATGGTGGCACCCAGCACACCCCTCTGGGCTCCTTCCAGCCCCCAGCATGGCTCTGACAATCCCTCCGCAGCAGCAGCAGCTAAAACTCAACCGAATTTGCTGATTCTGCCGGTAGTCTCCGGGGAAGGCACAAATTACCACACGCTACTTCACAAGCTTTTTTAATACATCAGATGATTAAGGAGCTCTCAGCAGCTCCAGACGCATTTTCTGCGGTGCATCTTTCCACTACGGATGCAGGAAGCGCCGAGCTTTGCCTCAGACCCCGGGTGCTGCGGCGGGCTGAGGCACGGGGAGGTTTTGCTTTTCCCCCTCCCTGTTTCCACCCCCAGCCCCAAAGGGTAACCTGACAAACGGGAAACCCGCTTCCTGCAGAAAGGCGAGAGGCGGAACCCTCGGCGGCTGCCGACAGAGTAAGACAACGTGCG